CTCCATTAAATCCAATCACTGAAAACAAATTGGTTTTAAATGTCTTTTGAGCTGGGGTAGCGAGCTTTTTGTGTAATAAGGCTTGTGAATTTATAAAATCTTTTTAAAAATGTGAACCTGGTACCACTGAGAGGTCTGCTGTCCTGGCAGCGCCAAATGGGATTCAGAAAGAAGGACAAAATACCTGTTTAAATGGGCCACGCTCTGGGAAAGGAAAAACAAAGGTGTCCTTAAAAATACATATAAATGAGATAAGCAAAGACGTTTCAGATCATTCACCCACTCTGGTTTCAGAAAAACTCGTGAAAGATTTAGGCCTCCCCTGCCCAGCTCAGTGTGTTGCTGGGCTTCTGCGAGGTGTTGCGGAAAGGCAGCGCTACGGAAGGTTTGCTCAAGGCACGGATCCCGCCCTCCATTCAGTATTAGTCTCGGTAAGATCTCCCGCACGGCGCTCAGCACTGCACGGCGCCCAGCATGCACGCGTGTATCCACACCCCAGAGGGAACGGCTGCCGCAGGCCGGCGCTGGCGCGGGCACCGTTGGCGCGGGGGCCGTTTTCTTACGCTCGGGCCTCCGCAATGTGTGAAAACCAGCCAGTCAGGTCATGGCCGCCTTTAGGCCATCCCATCCCATGCCCACTGGGACCAGACTGGCATCTGAGGCACCCGGTTCCGATTAGTGCACGCAGAATTACTGCGGCATGGATTGTATTTTCCAGTAATAACTTCAGTTTCTCATTAGCGCTAGACAAAGCTGTTGAATGCCCAGCTGGTGATTTACTGCACTTCAACTCAACCTTGCTAGTCTGAACACCACACTCCATGCCTCTCTGCCAACTCAAGCCTGCGGTTGGGTTTAAATATGCAATACCAACCGTGAGTAACCTGTGGGAATGCTTTAAACAGGTGAGAGGTGGTTTACTACCTGACAGAACCTGCCTCATAACCACCTTCTAATAAGTCACTGCTCACCTTCAGAAACTTGCCTCCCTTCTGCCTGCAAGACAGGTGGTCCCTCTCCATCCCCAGCCCAGCAGTGGGGGCCAAATCCACCAGCAGGAAAAAGAAACACACAAACAAAGGGATTGCCAAGGCTTGCTACCGAGCCAGGCGTAAGGAATTACCATCTTTGACCGGTAGATCTTCCTGCTGTCCTGTCCTTCCATCTAGGAATGAGTCTACAAACTGGCAGTGATCTTCTCCGTGGCCCCTCTGGTCTCCTATGTTATAGAATTTTCCTGAAAGCAAAGAAGTGGCAGAGTTGAAAAATCCATGTCCGCTTCAGCAAGGGACATTTCCCAAAGCGCCCGAGGCAACAGGCTGTGCTTCTTCGCCCTGTGGAGAAGCCAGGGTGAACGCTACGATTCTTTCCCTCTTGGATCTGCGGGCGTAAGTGGAACATGATGTTCTTGTTCCAAGTGCAGTGCTCATGGCCATAGGTGTAAGTGCTCCATTCCTACCCAAAATGCGTGCCTGGATGTATTTTTTCCCCTGCTTACATTTCGTACAGGAAGTGGAATGCTGTTCCTACCTGGAACTTCATCCTGACTGTACCAAAAGCGAGGTAAGTTTTCCTAGTGATTTGAAGGGAAGGCTGGTTTGGTTCCCCACCAGGAAGCCTTCAGTGCCTTCAAAACTGCCCTAATAGACCCCTCCTAACGTAGCCCCTTCTGTAAACCATCGTATTTTTACAACACGCACGTGCAAGCAACACGGATGGCCTCGGCCCAGCCACTGCCCATACCCGGAGCACGCAGCGTGCCCGTGCGTGTGTTTGCCATGTCGCGTAAGAGGATACGTGACTGCAGCTGGGTAGAAAACAAGGTCTTGTGCCCCCAGGCAGCGTGTGCTGATGGCACGGGCTGCGCTTACGCTGTTAATGCGAGGATGTGCAGTGAAGGGGTTTTGAGAGAGAGGAGGTGGTTTTACTGCCCGATTTTATTTGCAAGATGTGAGGGAAATGCAGTTCAGAAGATGGAGAAAAGCACTCTACCTTCTCTTCCCAGGCCTCAGCAGGACATGTTTTAG